AAACAGCGCAGAAGGAGATGTTCATAGACGATTTTGAAGATGACATACCTAAAAGATACATTGAAGATTGTTAGTGAAGAATCCAGAATGCATTATTCACAGGATGAAGGAGTTAAGACCGGCCGCGAAAGGAGAAGTTTGATATATACCAATGGTGCGGAGATAACGAAGCTCGTTATATGTCATAAGAAAAAAGTACTAACAAAGATATACATACCTATGTGGCCTTGATCCTTACCGTCCATATGAGTCAACCATAATAGTATCACTCCATTTCATCACGTTAGGAAACATTAGCAAAGCATGAATAAGTTCGTAGTGTACATACGGCACGGTGAGAGGAATGGTACATTGTAGTTAGTCAAGGTTATGGATAAATGGTATATATAGTTATAATAAAAAAAAGAGAAACTTACACTCTTCTAGCTAGTATATAACATTTGGCAGCGACGGCAGCTTCAAAAGGCATAAAGTACGAACTTTGTTGTAGGAAATGGTATAGTGAAGGCGTGCACTAGTATTAGCAATATAGGTCGTAGGAAATGTAAGGAAAGAATAAGAGCCAAGAGGATAACCTTCCAACAGGACCGTAAATAAAAATCGAAGAAGGGGGAGGAAGAGAAAGGGATTTCAGTGAACCAAAGAAAAAAACTTTCAAAAAGTACTCATCACATGCATACTCACAAAATCCGATACAAACATTTGTAGCAGATTATGCAAGTAGCACGTCAATTCCACCGACTGATACTTCATCCATCTTTCTGTACACCAACTTTACCTACCACCTTACACCTGAGGTTATGAAGGCATGACGAAGCTGTATCCACTTGGCGTTCCCTTAGTACTGAATATTAAAGCGTTGTAGAAAGTAGTGGCCTGTGCAAAAGCCATGACCGTAGTGAAAAGTAACAGGCCGTGCAGAAAAAAAGGAAGTGTAAGAAATAATGCATGGAAGCAGTCTAAGTATATATGCAGAGAAGACGATCAACTGAGACCGTTGATTACTCCCTCAACGCATTCTATATTGTGCAACTTTATTACCATACTTTTACTTTTATGAACCTCATCTTGATTGCAATCGTCATTTACAACAGTATGAAAAATAAACACATTCAATCAGCATCGTAAAACATGTGCTGCCTTGTAATACGCGATGAGAATGTTTGTATATATAAAATGCATCATAACACCCTTTTTTAGATCCAATTGCTTTCAGCATGATATCAATTATGTATACAAGAGCGGCATTTTTGGCTACTCTGTATATGTTTGTAAGACAGCACTATAGAAAGTACATATGATCTTTTGATGCAAGGGTTTGTAGGGGGATTATGAAGATGATGCAGAACAGTGGTAGTGCGAGACCTGTCATTTTTTAGATACATCAAATGGTGCACACTGGTGTATGTGAAAGAAAACTCATAAAAGACTTCTCTTTGTAGCCAAAGCATACACTCGGAGTGCTTCATCCGATGTAGTAGTTGAGTAACTAACATGAAGTTCTGTTCTTGCAGCTATTGCATATACTGGGAACTTATTGTACCAATATAGTAAATTTACATACACAAACAGAATACTTCATGCATAACTACCGCATCCAATCTCTAAAAACCCCCAACTTCTGTGGAGACCCACCTTGCCTCTTTATATACAAATATCAAGGTCTTTCAAAAGCCCTTGATATTGGACTTTTCGCGCGGTGATTGGGTTTAGCTCAGGAGAGTAAGTGGGAAGATACACACATTTGTATCCTCGATACTCAATATACTTCCTCATGTTTTCATGCGTATGAATGGGCGCATTATCCATGACTATATAGTGACCTTTCATATGTGGATGCTTGTCCATTTCATCGAGAGTCATTTTTAAAAAACTGACGTAATGACCTGTTACAGTTCCTGAACTTACATATCCTTCGGCCTTTCTCTTCTTTGCAGGTCTTGGTTTTTTTACACCGACTGTAATCAAACCTGCTGCAGAGATGGCGCATAAAATGGACGTTGTGTTTGCTCTCGTAGTAGGCCTGGTAACAATAGTACGAGTACCTTTTTTGGACCAAGCTTTTGAGCATTTCATATTTATATCAAAAGCAGACTCGTCAAGAAACACGCAATTCGTCAGGAAGTTCATGTCTGTATTTTCCCATTTGCCAACCCAATTGTACCGCTCCTCGACCTTTGCAATACTGTTTCTTTCGATAGAATGAAAGTCGGCTTTCTTCAACGAAAGATTGCATTCATTTCTCATGAAATTATAGACAGTGCTACGTGAAACTTTAAGATCATTAAATTGCTTCAACATATGCTCAGTCACTTCAACAACAGCAGCAGAGGGATTAGCATCAATAAAGTTGACAACAGCCGTTTTATGCTCTTCACTCAAGATACATTTACGACCAACCTGCTTACAAACCTCAAAAATACTATCAGGACACACGTTGTATAGTTTAACCCATCTCTGAGCAGTCCGGATGTGAATGCCCAACTGCTTCGCTGCAGCTGATGCGCTCCTACACTTCTTAATCTTAAGGTCGAAAAATCTAACCTTATCCTGGACAGTATGGCGCACATAATCGCGTTTTACGTTTGCTTCTTTCATACGAATGTCTTCATCTTTTGGCTTTTCTATCAGCATTGGGCAAGCCGACGAAGGTTCATTGGATACTGCATGTTTTAAGTACTCACTATGAGTCGCAATCGCCTCAACAACAAACTCATCCTGATCAACAATGTACTCCATGGGTTCAGGGCCGCCATTCTCATCAACGACATTTCCTTGTCCGTCTTCAAATAAATATATACTCATGCTTAATTGTAAAAACTGGAAGAAGAAAAAAAATCACCACTCTGAAGAAAAGGTCTGATTTTATATTTTTTCCAGTGCCAGAAACCATGGTGATACGAAATCATTCTCAAAAGCACACGACACGGTTTCTAAAAATACGACTTTCCTTTTTGAACATGCGATATTGATGTTGATCACACAACGACATCGATTTTCATTAGCTGGTGACATCATTTTTGACTGAGTGCGACATTGCTTGTTAGAAGCACTGTACAGTGCTTCCAAAAAGTAATGTCACAACTAATCAAAATCAATGTCACAGGCCAATTAAAATTAATGTCATTGGCTAATCAACAACAATGTCACAGGCCAATAAAAATCAATCCCAGAAATAGAAACCCCGTGTTTTTGCTTAGAAATCACGTCGTCATAATTCTTGGCACCAGAAGAGTATAAATACAGAGTGAATATTTTTTTCTTGTTTCCAATACTTTATACAATCTAACATGAGCACAATATTTTTATATGAAGATGGACATGGAAATGTTGTTGATGAGAAAGGTGGTCCTGAGCCCATGGATTACATTGTTGATGAAAATGAATTAGTTGTTGAGACACTTGCTACTTATAGTGAATACATGAAAACTGCGTCCTCTAGTGAATCTTCCTTGACTTCTCCAATGTTGATAGAAAAGCCAAAAGATGAAGATATTCGTATGAAGGAGGCAGATGTAAAACGGAGTTATGTGCGTTATACGGTCCAGGATAAAGCTCGGTTTTTCGATCTGAAGATTGAAAAGTGTATGAGTGCATCAGCTGCAGCGAAGCAGTTGCGTATTCACATTCGAACAGCGTACAGATGGGTCAAGCAGTATAATATGCATCCTGATAGCATTTTTGACAATATTAAAAAAGTAGGTCGAAAATGTATCCTTACGGAAGATCATAAAATGACTGTTATCTACTTCATTGATGCTAATCCATCCGCTTCTGTCGTTGAAGTGACCGAGCATATGTTGAAGCAATTTCATGATCTTAAAGTTTCTCGCAGCACTGTTTATAACTTTATGAAAAGTGAAAGCAACCTTTCGTTGAAGAAAGCAGATTTCCACTCTATTGAAAGAAACAGTCCAGCAAAGATCGATGAGCGATACAATTGGGTTTGCAAATGGGAAAATACAGAAATGAATTTCCTGACGAATTGCGTGTTTCTTGACGAGTCTGCTTTTGACATAAATATGAAACGTTCAAGAGCTTGGTCCAAAAAAAGCACACGTGCCATTGTTACCCGACCTACAACGAGAGCAAATACAACGTCTATACTGGGTGGTATCTCAGCAGCAGGTTTGATTACGGTTGCCGTAAAAAAACTAAAACCTGCGAAGAAGAGAAAAGCCGATGGATATATAAGCTCAGGAACTGTGACAGGTCACTATATCAGTTTCTTAAAAACGACTCTAGATGAAATGGACAAGCATCCTCACATGAAAGGCCACCATGTAGTCATGGATAATGCGCCCATTCATACGCATGAAAACATGAGGAAGTATATTGAGTATCGAGGTTATAAATGCGTGTATCTTCCTACTTACTCCCCTGAGCTTAACCCAATAGAACAACTCTGGGCAGTGGCAAAGAGTAAGGTTAAGCGTCATAGGTTTTTACAGGAGGACACATTATCAAAAAGAATCACGGAAGCCTGCAACAGTGTGGAGAAAAGTCACTTAAAATGTTTCGTTTCGCATTCTTACAAGAGTTGGGATAAATGCCGAAACAGAGAATCCATGTAATGACTATCGATAACAGTAAGATTGCAAGAGGTAAGTAACAATGGTTTCAAAAAATGCAAAAAAAAAAGGATAAAGGTATGAAAGGTGGATGAAGGTCTCTGCTAAAAGGTGGCAGGTCTCTGCTGAAAGGAGAGGTAGCAGGTTGCAAAAAAAAGTGGCAGGTTTCTACTAAAAAGTGGCAGGTCTCTGCTAAAAAGTGGCAGGTCTCTGCTGAAAAGTGACAGGTCTCTGCTAAAAAGTGGCAGGTCTCTGCTAAAAGGTGGCAGGTCTCTGCTGAAAGGTGGCAGGTCTCTGCTGAAAAGTGGCAGGTCTCAGCTAAAAAGTAGCAGGTCTCTGCTGAAAGGAGAGGTGGTGGGTTGCAGAAAAAAAAAAGACACGCCTTTTTTGTCCCCCCTTTTTTGTTTCATTTTGTTTCTTGTTTACAAAATGATCACACTTGGGCAAGCGTCATGCATGGTGCTCGACATGGTGCCTACTGACGAAAACAGGAAAAAGGCCGTTGACTTCATGGCAGCGTCACCATTTAAAGTGACTTATACAAGTACCAAAGGCCATTTTGAACCTTTTGCATTAGCCAAAACAATCATCGCGAAAAATCCATACAAGTACAAAATTTACCCAGCAACACCTCCAACAAGTCCAGAACAATCTGATACAGAAGACAGCGGTAAGTGAAGGTGTAGTTCATATGAACACTGTTCATGAGGCACTTGTAGACAAGCGTTTAGAATAACTACCGTTATTCTAGGGTTTAGACTACCGTCTCAATGACCAGCTACCCACGTCATCAAAAATCAAAGATTTTCTCTGACCACCCCTAACTATATTGATCATTCTTTATTATTTAATAATAAAACTTAAAAACTAAATATATAAAATAAATTAAAAATTAATAAATTAATAAACTATTAAACAGCCTACTATCAACGAAATATTGATACATTTACATTTGTTTTGGTACCCTGTAGACTCAAATGCATTGGAAACAAAAAGTGTGAGCAGCTCTTCTTCTGAGGAATCACAGTGTAAAACAGGCATATTAAAAAAATGGTTATTTTTTCATGACTTATGCGTGCAATTTACTTATTTTTATTAGCTAATTACTCTACCGATGGTGTTGTCAAGGTGGCCAAGCTTTTATTTACCAAAGAGGATGTTGGCTCGGCCGAACTTTACTAAACAAGTTTTAACACAAAGAAGCAGATATACCACGCTGTTGAGAAAGAGTTACCAAACCTGAATAACGCGATGACTTTTCAGCAGTTCAACTTGTTACTGAACAAGCATCAGGATCATTTTGGAAAATCTTTTTCAAAAATAGTGAACAGTGCAAAGGTTCGGGGACGAGAGCTTTTTTTTCTTTAAACCATGCGCGCACGGTAAGTATCACGATCACTTCAAAAACTTTGTTTAATCATTCGAGTTTATTCACAGGAATCATCAAAGAAAAATCCAACTCATTCAAGTTGCACATTCGGGCATTAAAGGCGAATTGGGCCAATATAGGCTACGTCAGAAAGTCACCCGGCAACGAAGACAAAGCAACAAGAGCACGGCTGATTACGTGCATGGCTCAGTGGCTCAAACAGCAATGTTATTGTCGAAAGATTTTTGCGTCAGATGGCACCAAAGCCAACAAAGGCATTCTGGCCCGCGACAGCATTGGCGGATCACAGCATTGCGATGGGAACACACAAGGTAACTTAGAAGTCAATGATATGGCTATCGAACATTTATTTTTTTCTTGCTAGATATGTTTTCCTACATGGCCGCAACCACCAGAAAAATTCGTTTGTGCGTGATTGATTATGCTGGCTTGTCAACCGATCCCGATGATGTTAAAAGAATGCTAACGTAAGAGGTGGAAACTATGAACCAAAATACACTTACTCAGACACAATTTCTAGGCTGAACAAGAATATCAAGGAATTAGCGATCGTACATCCAACGAGCATCGAGATTCTTACACAATACGAATTAGAAGATCCCTCTGTGTTAAGCAAGTTCAAATGCCGTAAAGGACAAGTGCATCGATCGAAATAAAGCTACGTTATGATTTTTGACGCCAAAAAAACAGCAGGTCAAAGTAGTAGATGACGCAGTTAAATATCATTTCATCCATTGCATTTGAAAACAATATGTCGTATCAGTGGTTAAAAGAAGTGCATTAGATAGATGCGCAGTTCATTGATGGAAGGAAAGTATGCTCTTTAAAATGATTGTGTGTTGCTTGAACAAGAAATCTATAGGTCGGGCAATGGCCCCCAATTTGGGTATTTACAAACGTAAAATTATTCTGTATACGATTTTTCACAAGCGACAATTTGATACAAAAAAGACAAAAAGAAAATGTTGATTGCAGTCATACACTTTAAATTTTCAGATTGAAAAACCTAGCTTTATACTGGACTGTATAACGCACATAGATTGAAGTTAAAAATACAGCACAGATATTTGTGTAACTAGAGTATGCCATTTTTAAACTCAATTACTTCCTTATATAAAATTGAAAAAGTAATTAATATATAAAATATATTATGATATTAGAGCCATATAAAAATTTACAAAAGATTTTTAATAATGAGAATGAAGCAATCAAATATTTATTAGACCAGGACATAATAAAAAAACCTGATTCATGTATAAATTGTTTAAGAGAAATGCAATATTATGAAAATAAAAAGATATTCCAATGTAAGAATTATAAATGCAGAAAAAAGATTTCAATATTTACTAATACAATTTTTTACAAAATGAAATTACCAATAAATAATATATTGCATTTAGCATATGAATTTATAAAAAAAACACCTAGAAAAAGTATATCAGCATCATTACAAATATCAAAACCAACAATTATAGAATATTATAAATTATTTAGAGAGATTATGTCAAAACAAAATAATAGAAAATTTAAGAAAATTGGTGGAAAAAATGATATTGTTGAAATTGATGAGTCAATGAGTGCAAAGAGAAAATTTCATAAAGGTCATAGAGTAAAAGGAACTTGGATTGTTGGAGGTATTAGTAGAAAAACAAGAAAAGTTTTTATGATTCCTGTAAAATGTCGGAATTCTGAAACACTTATCAAATTAATCAAAAAGAATGTTATATCAGGAACTACTATATATACAGATTGTTGGAAAGGTTATAATCAATTAAAATATCACAAATATTTACATAAAACAGTTAACCATTCAAAATTTTTTAAAGATCCAAAAACAGGTGTACATACTAATACTATAGAAGGTATATGGAATGGTTTAAAAATGAGTATACCCTATAGAAATAGAACAGAAAAGGGTATGATACAGCATATTATTGAATATCAATAGAGAAGAAAAAATAAATTAGAGAATAATTGGATTGAATTTATTAAATTATTTAAAAATTGAATTTATTATATCATTAAAAATAAAGATGAAAATAAAGATGTATAAATTGAAGCGTATTTTCAAATTTCATTTGAGATTAATATAAGACCTGGTTATGTCAATAAACTGGCCTATTTAATACATAATGATTCTATAATATACTTAATAGACCTAGATATTATAGTATGAATGGAATTAGATAATATTTTTATATTATTTTATAACTAAAAAAATAAAAATTGAAATTTATTATATAATAAAAATAAATTGTATAAAAACATTTATATATTTAGTATGGAGGACATTTTTGATTTCATTGTCAATGAGAAATTTAAATATAATATTAAAAGAAGTATTTTTATAAAGAATATAAAAAAATATGATATAGAAGAATTCAAAATTAAACAAAAAAATGGGCACTTTGAAGTATTTATGAAGAAATCAGGATCCAAGAAAAAAATAAAAAAAGTTTATGAATTTTGTACATATAAAAATAAAAATATTATAAAACGTAAAAATAATAATAAAGAAATTGAAGATGATTTAGTGCTTAATTTTAAAAAGGCAAAGATAAATTAATTTCTGTGCCATATTCTTAAAGATATCCACGCACATATTCTCGTTTTGGCTTTGACTCCTTCATATGAATATCTTCATTTTTTGGCTTTTCTAACAACATTGAGCAAGTCAGAGAAGATTCATTGGGGACAGCATTTCCTAAGTACTCTGTATGAGTGGCAATAGTCTCAACAATAAATTCACTCTGATCAACAATGTAGTCCATGGGCTCAGGACCACCATTCTCATCAATAACATTCCCGTGTCCGTCTTCATATAGAAATATTGTACTCATGTTAAATTGTAAAGTATTGAAAAAGAAAAAATACCAGAAGAAAAAATACTCACTGTCTTATATATTTTTCAGGTGCCAAGAATCACGACGTGATTTCTAAGACGACGAGTGACTTCTCTAAGAATATGAAATTGATTTTAATTGGCCTGTGACATCAATTTTGGTTAACCAATGACATCGTTTTTAATTGACCAATGACATTGATTTTGTGTTTTGTCGAGGATCGGAAATGGGACGAGATAATTCGTGAGACTCTTAACGGTCAAGTTTTTATTATGAGAGAAAGAGAGAGTTCCAAATATTCTTATTACTAGTTATTCATATAAAGAAATTGTCTTTGTGGAACTGAGTTGATGTCCCGATCCTCTGGATACAACATCACCCCCCACCAGGCTGTATGCCGTTGGTAAAGGATTCAGAGGATTTTGAGGGCATGATGTTATAACCGGACCGATCATCTACGTTGTTTCTTGTTCTGTGATGCTACCCGCTGACTGTTTCTTGTCCGTTTCTGTTTATGGACAGAGGGCGGTGCTTGGCCTAAGCGATTCCAATAATCACTGATGGATTGAGGGTCATCGAAATTTTGTGATGGTTCCCAAGAATCATGATCTCTGGTAAAGCCTTTCCAGCGTACTTTGTATTCGTATTGGCCTTTGTTCTTCCTGTGTTGGAGAATCGAATAAATGTGATAGCGGCGTTCTTTTTTCGATGCCTTTTGATCGCTATTAAGAATGGCTGCTTTTAATTGAGATGGTGCATAATTCTTTTCTTCAAGATCTCCATCAAGTGCTCGTACCACATATGAGCCTCCGCGTGTTTGTCGCACGACTTCATATGGTCCCACATAATCGGGGTCGAGTTTGTTTTTCTTTTCCTTGTTGATTGCCATCACATAACTTTTTGGTGGGAAATAACCAAGCGGTGTTTAGCATCGAATTTTTCTTTGCGCTTAGCGTTTGTTTTGATTGTGCGTTCTGCAATCGCTGGATATACTATATCGTTGATCTTTTTGAAGTGTTCCTCAATTTCTTTTGGAGTGAGGCGCTGCTTTGGCTTATCTTTTGTTAATCTTTAAAATCATTCAGTTGGCGTCCAAACATCAATGCAAATGGTCGGGATTCATGTCTCTCCAGAACTTTGTTGTTCAAGGACAGTTGTACACCTGGTACTGCACGATCCCAGTCTTTTGTCGCACCTTTAATAGACTTCTTTATGCCTATGATGGACTTTTTGACCCATGCTTCAGCAGTTCCATTGCCTCTAGGGTGGTATTGTGTGCTGAATTGATGATTAAAGTGGGCGCTCAATGCCAGTTCTTACATAGGCAGATTGATGTTCTCCGTACCATTGTCGGATTGGAGTTTACGAGGTATTCCAAACGTACTAAATACATCAATCAAGACCTTTGTTATTGTCTCTCCTTTCTTGTCTGGAATAGGACGGAGTAAACAAAAACGTGTGCAGATGTCAACAAGAACCAGGAGGTACCGATTGTTTTGCAGAGAGGTGGTAAATTCACCAGCTAAGTCTAATGCCCAATGATCTCCAGGAATTTCTGCCGTGATAGATCGTAATGGATGGTAACCTTTGATGGCTATGTTAAACTTTTGACATTCTGAGCATGATTTGACAAGTGCTACAGCCTCTTCTTTCATGGCAGACCAGCGTAGTCCTTGTGAATGAAGATCTTTGATAATGGCGGTGGCACCAAAATGTCCCAGGAGGTGGGGAGATTCTAGCAATTGTTTCCTTTCCTCTTCTGGTGGTGTAACCATCTCATCATCGGGTGTTCTGGCAAAGCGGCTAATGTGCGACTTGGGAGTCAGCAAAGCCTGTCCATCACCCCTCGCCAGCGTTTGTTCCGTTGGAGGAAATAAGCGTGAAAGACGATCAGGGAGGACATTATGTATACCAGGAAGATATATTACTTCAAAGCTGTAAGATAAGATGCGATCAAGCCATTTGGTGAGCATAGGATTGAGCTCCTTTTGCGAATGCAGATACACCAAAGCTTTGTGGTCAGTATAAAGCTTGAAATGGTTGCCCCATAAATAAGTATGGAATTTGTTTAAGGCAAATATAATTCCAACCAATTCACGTTTGGTGATATGATAGTTATATTCGGCTTTTGTTAAAGAACGAGCCATAAAGGAAATATACTTCTTCTTGCCATCTTGTTCCTGCCATAAAACAGCGCCGAGGCCTTGATTGGAGGCGTCTGTAGCCACAAAGAAGGGTTTATGGAAATCGGGCTGATGCAGGACGGGAGATTTGCGTAAGATGGTTTTTAATATTTCGAAGAGTTCCTGATGGTGTTTTGACCATACTGGGGTTAAGTCATCATATTTCCGTAAGGCGTTTAATGGAGCCATCAATCGGGATAGATTGGGAATATATGTGCGGAAGAAATTTAGGATACCAGCAAATCTTTCAATATCCTTGCCAGTGCGTAATTGGGGCCATTGCTCTATGTTGGCAAGTTTACGGTCATCAGGTGTAATACAACCTTCAGCTACTCGATGGCCTAGCAAATATACAGATTTCATGCCAAAGGCGCATTTGCGGCTGTTGAGCTCGAGATTAGCCTGAGTAAGCCGGTGGATGACTTCTTGGACATGCTGGACATGCTCGCAAGATTATTTGAGTAAATAATGACATCATCAATGAAAAAAGTGGTAAAATTGCCTTCAATCTGATCCATCAATTTTGCCATGACTCTAGAATATTTCTGGCTGAGCGTCTTAATTCCGAACGGACTTCCGATATGCATGTAGGCCTTGCCGTTGGGAGCAGTAAAAGAAGTTTTGATGGCGTCGGGCTCATGTATCCTGAGTTTGTTAAAAGCTGCAGTGATATCAAGAGTGGTAAAGACACGTGCGTGGCCAATTTTGGCTAGTACGGATTCCAGAAGAGGTAGCTGAAAATAATCTTCTGGGAGCAAAGCATTCAATGCTCGTGTATCCAAACAAACACGCGAGCCTATTCTTCTGCCTTCAGCATCCTTCTTAGGTGCGACAGTAAGAGGGTTATTCCAACGATGATCACGTACATCTGATGGAACTAGTTTGGTAATACCATCTGCTTCCCATTGTTTAATTGCTTCTTCCACAATAGGTATGTCATTGTGTGCAAGTTTATATTGTCGGCGATAGGCGAATTCACCAGAGGGAGTAGGTAAATGCACTACAGCTTCCGGAAGGGACAAAAAGCATCCTTGGGGATTTGCCGGTTTTCCTCGAGATAAGGTTCAATGGCATTCAAGAATTGCTGATGTTCTTCCGGTGTACCTGCAGGTGATTGGTTGGGTAAAGGTAAGGCATGTTCGGGATCCGCGTATTCTTGCGGTTCTCTTCTGTCCTCAAAAGAGTGAACTAAACCTGTATAGCCAATTCCAAATGCAGGCATCAGATCGGAGCCAATGCTGACCATATGGTTACGAGCTAAAGGCATGGCTTCGAAGCTGTATGTTATAGTGCAACCATTGTATGTGACGGCTAACTCATCAGTACAAGCAATACGGGGACAATTTGAACCATCGGCTAATCCAATATTTGCAGCTTCTGAAAGAGATTTTATTTTAATCTGATGCTTGTTGCAAAATTCAGGGTGGATTGCTGAAAAATTGGCACCTGGATCCAAGATAGCCCAGACCTGTTGGTTCTGTATGGTTACTGGAATTAGTGTTTCGTCATCATAGATGGGTTTTCCCTTTTCGACACTGGTCATTCGAGAAAACTTACAAGGTTCTGAGTTATTGGGAGCATCTCCGCTGTTGTCTTGTATATTGTTTTCTTCTATGGCTCTTCGGACTGCACGTTTGGCAGAGCGCGCAAGAAATTGTTTTCTGCGATCATGTGTCTTCTTTGATTGCCGTTGAGCAAAAGAGCTGCTGCCACTGCTACTGCTGGTGCTGCTGGAGCTGCTGCTACCAGTGTCCTTTATGTGTTCATGTCGGGGACCGAACTCAACGAAAAAGCCACGGTGTTGGCAAATTCGACACCAGTTGATCTGAGTCGGCGCGACGGACTTGGCCTCAGGTTTCCTGTGGAACGATTCGGTCTTATGGGCTTTGGACCGCGACGAATCGTGCTGACGGTGCTCGGATGTGAGCGATCGCTTGCCTTTACCTTTCAGGTTGGGCAAAGCCATTATGTGTAAGCTAATGCGATCCACGTCAACAGGCCATTCATTGCCATAGTTTTGTGATAACCAGGCCTCAGCTTGCAAGCGGGAGTCTTCTTGCATGTTCAACAAAAAGGTATCAAACACCGCTTCGTCCGTACTTTTGTAGTACGAACTGTGCAGAAGCTGCTGGAAGCGCCGGACGTAATTGTCGAGGCCTTCAAAATCGCCTTGTCTGCAAAGCAAGACTTGACGATTGCTTTGGCGCTTTTGAACAGCTGTGTCATAAATGGAGATCAGCACGTCTTTGGCCTGACTCCAAGTTGCCTTAGCAATGCCTCTACTAGAAAGGTGCTTGGTCAACTGATCACGCTGCGACTGATTTAAAGCTTGTTGGATCAGTCGGCGCCAGTGGGACTCAATATCCATGTTGTGGACCGTGATTGACGTTTCGAAGTCTTTGGTCCACGCTTCTGCTGAAGAGAAGGTTATGGTGGCCCGTTTACTGCCATGAGGGAGACCATGCAGCTGCAAGTACGGCAAAGACTTGGGTACTGGCTGTGGCAACTCTTTGACACGCGCGTGCTGAGAACCGTACTTCTCCGTGGTCCAGAACAAAGGTTCATTTGGATACACACAGTTGAAGGTACGTCTCACTTCTTCGAGCTCAGCATTGTTTGCTTTACTGGCCGCGAGAAGGGCACTGCGGTTTGTGTGGTCATCACTGACAAGAGAACGACCAATTTGCTGGGCAAGGATCGCCTGCTTTCCCAAGAGGACCTTCATAGCTGATTTGGCTACCTGCAAGGGGTCAGCGTGAATGGATTCTAAAGAACCCGGCTGTGCCAGTGGCATTTCGACATCATCCTCTGCTACTAGCTGGGAGCCAGCAACGGAACGTGACGACACATCCTGAAGAGAATGCTCTTGAACGTGGGTGCCAGGCGCGGGGAACTGTAAGTTCTCTGCAGCAATAGCCACAGACCGCACATCTGGCTGACCAGCGGTGGTGCTCGCCACGCTCAAAGCATCACCTTCGTTGTCGAGGTTCAGCCTTTGCATGAGGGGCGGCAATTGTTGGATGTTTTGCTGCTGTTGCTCTTGCTGCAACGCAGTGTGAGGAGGCAGGAGCGGCACGAATTGCGGTTGCTGCTGTTGTTGACCAAGTTGTTGCAGGCCAAAAAGCTGCTCGAGCTGTTGCTGCGAAAGTTGTTGCTGTTGCTCAAGTTGTTGAATGAGCTGCTGCTGCTGAGCAAGCTGCAGTTGCGACACTTGTTCAGCCATCTGTTGTTGCTGCTGAAGTTGGTCTTGCTGTTGTTGTTGTTGGGCTTCGACTACAACGGAGGTAGCGAGCGAGGGCGACGAGATGGGTCCGTTGGTAGGAGTGGTGGTGTTGGTGGCGACAAGTTGGTTGACGTTCATCATAGTGATAGTAGTAGTTGTTGTAGTTGTGGTTGTTGGTGTTGGTGTTGGTGTTGGTGTTGTAGATGTGGTGAGAATTCACGAAAAAAAATGTTTTGTCGAGGATCGGAAATGGGACGAGATAATTCGTGAGACTCTTAACGGTCAAGTTTTTATTATGAGAGAAAGAGAGAGTTCCAAATATTCTTATTACTAGTTATTCATATAAAGAAATTGTCTTTGTGGAACTTAGTTGATGTCCCGATCCTCTGGATACAACATTTTGGTTGGCTGTGACATTACTTCTTGGAAGCACTGTATTTGTGGCTAGAAAGGTGTTGTTACACAGATAGAGCCATGTACATTCCCAAACGACGCGTACTACTGTGCCACTCTTCGCACCTGAAGGTTCCTTGATCCTCCGACTTCTTTTTGACACAAATTATCATCGTTGCTGCGTACCAGCCTGAGTGCTTGTAAACATCTCCAGGGATGCCTCGGCTTGCAGTTCATCTTATAGACATTCCGCTATGTATGACTACATAAAGAGATGGTACACTTGATCTTACGAGGAAGAAAACATGCGCCAAAAGACTGAAGCCGATCATCGTTGATCAGAGGCATCAAAAAGAAAAGGGGTTTGTATATATTTATTGTAATAGCACCAAAACCAGACTAGTATGTACTGCCCTAGCACACGAAATCCCCTTTACACAAAGTTTTTTGCCACCTTGAAAAGTTAACTTGCGTGCTCTCCCTGTACACGGCGAAGAAGACCGGCTCTAACTCAGAAACGTAAGAAGCAAGCTTTCTCATAACGAGCATACCAAAATTGAGTGCTAGTAATATACTTATTGGAGATCGCTGAATTGATCCATAAGGATTATCAGCTTAGTATCAAAAACTATCTTCGCCCTCTTTTGTTGTGCCTAAATGGTTGCTCTGAAACGCGCTACAAGGTTCCAAAAGTCTCAAAGACTATCTTGACGTATGGATAGTATGGCGAAATCCATTCTGATGCGTAGAACTTAGAAATTCCAAGGGAACAAAATTTAAGATGTCTACGCTGTTTGTAATCCAGATAGTTCTGATAGAAGATCACATATGTACTACGGATAATGCAACAGTTGAGGTAGTATAAGTGTCAGTGAGGCAGAAGTCGTTTAACAGTTGAAAGTGAACGCAATTGCCATAGTTCTATCGGCAAAGCACCCACAAAGTCGATGATTATAGTTACAATAAGTTTGGTACAATCGCTGCTGGTTTAGGACATTTACTTGGCGCGATTTTGTGGTGGTCAGTATGTGTCGATGCTACCATCTGGCAGACATGTAATACACCCTTTCCCCTCTGCGATTTTTCTATGGACCCGATCACCACGATCAAGAAAGTAAAAATTTTAAAGAAATATAGGAAGGGATATCCAAACCACCAATGTCATGCAAGTTTATTTATTCATCATCCTCATCCTCGTCATTTTCTCTGAATCTTGGGTTCTGCATACAGTAGAGATTGGATTCTGGTTAGTGACCGAATTGTTACCAAGACAAGTGGGTATACTGTTTACCTGTTCCTTTAATCGCTTTCGTTCTGGATCATCCTCCGAATCACGCTCACGTTTACGTGATCCTAAACGTATTTAAGTGAGTATATTGTAAAAATATAAAGTATTCTTCTTTTTTTTTCCATCCAAGATTTTTTTACCTGAAATATCCTGAATACGATTCTTATACTGCTCTGCACCGGATGGAATCTCCTTGATAGGTTCATACGTCTCCTTCAGCTTCTGTTCACGCTCACGCTCAAGTTGGAGTCTCATGCGATGACCCCATCCACCACGACCTGGATCGAATTCAGTGCGGTACTCGTCACGTACTTGACCACCACTCTTGCCACGGCCAAACTGTCTTCCTTCTTTAAAGCCAGGGTCCAAATCACAACGTATCACACGCTCATCCAACTTTGTACCATTGACGTATTTCATGCAGTCTAACGCGTCAGTACGATGATAGTATCTTTTTTTTTTAACAGAAAAAAAATAGTGTTGTTAGCTTTTGTATTTGCCTAAACCCTTATATATATCTGTGTAAAATTGGTTTGCCGTGTCGCGTTGGAAACGGTCGCAATAAAAGGAAAAAAAAAAACTTACTCAACAAAGCAAAATCCACAAGGTGTCTTTTGGTTTCGATCCAAGCCCATAATGATACGCTTGATTTCGCCACATTTTGAAAACAGCTCATAGATTTGTTCCTCAGTTGTATAAAATGACAGATTGCCGACGTATAGTGTGGCGGTCGCGGTCAGATCGTCCACGAACTGATTAGACGATCCCTATCAAAAGAAGGAAAAAACCGTGTGTTGTGGCATTGTTAGATTCAAAGGCGTTGGTTGAAATCGTTTTGGGAGTTGAAGGTAGGTGAAGGAGTTCCTTCATACTTGGTAGAGCTGATCGCGATATGTTGAAGGAACAGCTAACGAATTAACGATGGATGTCATGTGTGTATTATGCTTTTGGTCGATAATAAGAGAGACAAAGAGAAAATCAAACTTGTATATTTTTGACTTACCCAATTTAGTCCGCTACTCCCTTGGATTTACAATGCCTATCCCTCTCACGAAAAAGAAGTGATATAAGGCTGGAGAAGCATAAACAAGTTGATATGGGTACTCTTCATGTATATGCTTACTCTTGTCAGCAGCTATGATGCAGTATATATTTATATCTCTACGTTGCAAGCTTCACCACGGCTAAAACGTGTTTAAGACAAATCAGACGCAACACACCGCATGTTAAATTAGCAATGGAATTTGCAAACATAAACTTCGTTATGAAGAAAAGTATGACAGTTTCTGGAAGCCATCGTGGACCTTTGTGTGTCGTATTGACATATATTAGATGATATGCTATTGCTGGACAGCGAATACATCTGTGAGATTGTATATATGAGGAAGTAAATGTGCTTGTTGCATGTCGCAACAGGTATAACGACCAGAGAGATTTATGTACAGAGAGACAAGTGGGACGTGGGGAAAGGAATGAGAGAATGCAGGGACATGTGTATATAGACAGCAGCTTTGTTGGTGATAAAATGTCGAAGGAAGAAGCCATCGCCTCCTATGCCTCCTCTTTTCTTAACCTTGGCTTTTTCACCGATGATGTTGTTGTTGTTGCTGCTGCTGTTGATGGAGGCATATCTTGTTTGAACTCACGCCACCAGTAATAAACTTGTGCTTGAGTGATATTGGCATCTGGATACTGCTGCTGAACATGCGCATGAATATCCTTAGCCGATCGACCCATGAACAATGCTTCCCTCTTTATCATTTCACGCACTTCATTGGGTGTTTTGCGAGACGGTTCCGGCGGTTCATGCCGTGTTTCATGCTGAATCGTCACATGTGCCTGTCTTGCAATCCGATCAATGCTTGCTGACAAGCGTCCTTTGCAGTCAAACCGTTTGCGGTATTTGCTTTTACGTTTTCGACTCACTGCCGGTATGGATTCATTCACTCTTGGTGCTTTTGCAAGTGCTGTGGATTGGGAACAGTTGGCATAGAAACTAGCCACACCTTTGCGTGCTGCGGATGAATTTACGGTTTTTAATATGTATTTGTACGTGTCGCACTCGCCCACTTTGTGACATATGAGTTTGGCAATATCCATATCGCTCAACAAAAGTAGTGGATCGTCTAGGCTGAGTCTGGCTTCGTAATGGTATCCTTCTGGTTGATGCATTGTCCATGTCGTAAAGTTTTCGTATAGCGTTTCGAGTGTTACGAGCGAGCTGCTACTACTTTTGTTGTTTCTGTTACTGTTGCCAGTAGTGTCGTTGTTGTTCAAGTCGAGGCTGCTGCCATTTCGTGTCACTGTGGATTGCTGTAGTACATTGGACGTAGAAGAAGAGTTCTGTCTTCGTTTGCGATTGGTTCGACATTTCTCACAAGTTTTGTAACTGCGCGTAGGTTCTATTGTTTCGCACCGATATACTTTAGGACTTTTTTTTTCTTTGAACAGATAACTATATCCAAAGTGTTTAACTTGCCTTGAAAATAACGATTCTCGCGTGTTTGTAAGCAATTTGAGCATACTTGAGACATTGTTGCGCTTTTGCTTTTTGAACAGAGAAAAAAAAACCAGAGAGAAAGCTATAAAGGGTGATCCTATAATTAGAAGACGTTCGGAAAGTCCGACCCGAAATGCGGACAAAGTGAGGAAAGAAAGAGCAAAGAAGACTATCATATTCTCTTATTCTTTGTCATGTGGGTGTTACCGTTTGTCGTTGGACTTTCAAGTCTCTTATGGCAGCAATCAAATGCATCTGGTGTGAAAAACATTGTAGTATTTGGCGATTCATATTCAGGTAAAAAGAAAAACTATACCGTAAAAGAAGAAAACGGAAGATCAGTTATGGTGAAAAGAACAAAGCTCATCCTCGTCACTGATCGGTTCAACTGGCTTTAATAAATCAAAGATGTCGGAAATTTGCAACGATTAAGTAACGGGCCATTTTGGAGCGAAAACCTAGCGGTTGGCTGGGATGCGTCTATATACAGTTTTGCATACGACGGGGCTGTGTGTGATAATGACTTATTCAGCAGCGACACGAGCGGGGCGATGCCAAGCATAAAGGACCAAATTGAAATGTATTATAACGAACACATGGACTTGGAGCCGAACGATACGGTCTATGCGTTCTGGATTGGATTGAACGATATCGATCTGGCATTCAAACAAGATAACACTACCAGCTTATTGGATGGTATAGTAGATTGTATTGGCACGCAAATGGTAAAAATGAATTCATGTATGAAAGGGGGGAAGGGGGGGGGTAGAAATTATTCCGGAACAGCTATAGATTGACTTTATACTTCAACCAGCGCAACGTTCGTAAAGTGTTTGGCAGCAATCGATACCTAGTGATCAACATACCACCTCTCGAAATGATGCCGTATTTCAACGGCGACGAGAAACGGAAAGCAGCAGCAGAGGAGCTGAATGATCAACTACTGAAAAGCGTCACCAGCATGAACAAGCATCACCGAGCGTTGGAAATGGATCTGGTGGATGTGCATGCGATGGTGGGTGACATGGTAGAAAAACCGAGCGAGTTTGGATTTAAGGATGCCAGCCATGCCTATTGGGAAGCGTGCCAAGGCCAATGTACGGATGACCTGGACGAATACTTGTGGTGGGACAAGGTCCACCTGACAGGAGGTAAATCCGAGTTGTGCTTGATAAGACAGATGAGAAGAAAAGTTGGAGAGAAGAGTGTTGTCCTTTCGCGACTTGTAATGATTTTAATCATCTGGAATGCGTGTCGTCATGTTATAGGCGCCCACCGTGCCATTGCCAATAGCATTCTGTTGTCAGGGTCACTTGAGCCCAAGGTCTCACTACCGTCGGTTGCCGAAGTAAAGAGCACGATCGAAGGGGACAAGCGATTCCAGTCACCTACATACACGCCACAAGCCAACACGGGCGTGATTGACAAAGTGGTCAAGGAAATTATGGATGCAAAGGCGACGGAACAGCCGGAACAGCCGCCGGCAGTAACGGATGATGATCGCAACGTGACGGAAGTGGAGGAGGAGGATGACGATCTCGACAGTGACGGGTCGTTCAGTCACATTTACTTTGTGGTGATGGTGACTGTTCTCTTGTGTATCGGGTTTGTCTGGTTTGCTCGGAGGCAAAAGCGATCTAGCAGGTTGGCAGCGTTATCCGGACTGGTCAAGAACAACGGTCGGGGACGGTTCACACCTCTTCAAAACATGGAATCCACCAATGCATAATGAACAACCCTACCTATTTTATACATACACACTTTTTGCATCATTCCTCATCTCTCTAGACCCAATAAAAAAAACACCCATCAGGTAAACAAAGGTTGTCATTGCAGAGAAAATAGAAGTTCAGGATCCACACACCAGCCGGAGTCATGCAGCATTTTGTTTGTCCCACGCAGCTGGATTTTGACAGTTGAGTGCAACAGCTGACAGGCCAACTCCCGAAAAAGGAAACTACCACCCTTTTCCATTATCTTATTATTCCTGTGGTCCTCTATTTTTCTTTCTTTCTTCCACTCAACCCGATTCAAAACACGCAGTCATGGATCAAGCAGCTTACTCAGAGTTCACCTTTGCAACAACAGAGCTCGTATTGAAGACCCAAGAGTTCTTCAAGACAGAGGACAAATGGCTCGACGATGAGGATCATAGCGCCAGCAGCAGCATCAAAAGCTATGACAATGATGACAATACCAGTAGTAGCCACTGCAGTCAGCATCGGAAGCTCAGCGACGAAGCCTACCAAGAACTGTTTGACGAAATAATTGACACAAGTCAATGCTGCTGCGAACAACACGATTCAAAGGTGACGATGCATGCGACGACATCAGTAAAAGAAGAGCAGCCGTCATTACCGCCATCCGATACCTCTATCAAACCCTCCATCATCATCATCACACCGCCTGCAACGCCTGTCGCGCACAGTACAATAGAGCAAGAAGACAGTCAATGCGTTGATGACACAGCAGAAGGAGAGCACGGCGTCATCTTGCGGCGAAGTGCACGCATAGCAGCAGCAGCACTTGAAAAACGTAACAGCTCTGGGTACGACAGCAGCAACAGTTACAACGTAAAGATAAAATCAGCTACGCGAAAGTTGTCACGAAAAAAACGCGTCAGTGAAAAAAAGAACAATGGATAGAAACTGCAGTGCTGCGCAGCATTACAAATCCCGATCGAGACGTCTTCAGCTCACCTGTCTCTGCTTTAATATACCCACCCCCCCCCCACCCGCCCTACCTTCCTACAATAGTACACATACTGTAAGCAAAAGCTAATAAAAAAATAACTTGCTCTTATACTCAAAGCCTATCGCGACAACAGTTTCTTCTTCAAAAAGTCTGATGGTGCACAAACAGGAAAAAAATGACTCGAGACCGGAAACTCATGCGCGGAAGATTGAGGCTCGTTCAGGTTGATCTGCTGACCGCCCTCCTTTCATCACCACTGCTTATTGCCAGTGAAGACTGTCATGTGCTGTCAATAGAAACTCAGATTTTTGGTTCTCTTTTTTTTTTTTTTGTTTGACCATGCGGCACATCAAAAGCTGTCAAAATGAGAGCACTCCTGTCGTTGGTCTCGCTTTTCTTCTTTGACGTTTTGTGTGAGTCCACGTTGGTCATCTCCGCTTTTATGCAACTACAGCTCCTCGAACGATCTTAACAAAACACCATTGTAAGTTGTCTTTAGCATTAAAATTGAGGCATGAGTGGGGGCACAGGGTGAATGACTGCAAAAAGTGATTCGATAAAGTGGCTGGGTTATAGTCTGTATACGTTCAGCTTACTTATCTATTGTCCTCACGGTTCACGCTCTAAAAGCTAATTCATTGTTGGCGGTGTCGTCAGTAGCAGGCTGATCGTAAGGACTTTGGGAAGAGGGACGATGTGTACCTGTTGTCAGATGCGTTGAAGCTCATGGGCATTGCGGTTTTACTATTTACATAGGACGCACACATGGAGTTGTCCTAGTCTACCTCTCTGGAGGTCATGACTGCTATCATATGTTGGCATGTACCAGCTATTCAAGCTCTTTTACCGGATGACTTCTTGCTTCAGCTCGCCCCCAAAGACCCACAGCTTCTCTTGTCAAGCTCACTGCTGTGTCAAGCCATTTTCCTGTCCTCGTCGATTCACTATTGCTGCTACGGTCATTGTGGCTGATGGCTTAAACCGTTTGTGCAATCCAAGCCCAGACCGGATGCGTCTCTATCCAAGTGGCGAGGCAGTTCATCAATGACCTGATATTACCATCACCACCAATAATTAACAACCCAGCTACGTACTGTTTTAACGTTTGTGCTGCGACAAGGCCGAAAAGTCAAGGACCCGGCCGCGCTAAAGATCATCCATCGCAAATTTTGGGGTGACGAATATTGTTTAAACCTGTCATTGACAAGCTTTTTTGGAAGGTCATGCCAATGGATTGTATCGGGGAGAAGAATTTTTCTTTCAGCGACAATGTCAAGGTCCTGTGATGGCGCACCCGCAAGCATGGCAAACCAGATTGAATGTGATACTGCTCAACCATATCGTCGAATGCCTCCATCTACCGCCGCCAACGGCCGTTCCGCGCAAACCTATCTCATTGATTTTGGCCTTGCAAGAAAATTCAAAAGGCATTGCTGCGAGCGAAACCACCCCAGTCCATCTCTTACATCTCTTTATATCAAAATATTGTCCTTTCTATGGCGTACGTTGTTTCGTGAATATAATGCCTCCATCCATCGTCGACAATGACCGCTTCATGCTTCTTAGGCAGCTAGGAGTAGGTGCATGTGGCCGAATATACATCGTGAGTAACTAATGGACGCATGGATCAACTTACCTTTTGTATTTGCAGCTGTGGCATCTGATAAATCCAAGATTGTTGCTGCCAAAGTGGAAGCTCAAGCAAAGAGCTCGTCTGGTGCCGCGAATTGCAATGCTACCAGGATCTTGTGGCGAGGGAGACCTGTCATGCAGCTGAGCCGTTGTACTTTGGTGCTCAAGGCAAATATAACGTTCTAGTTATGGGTTTAATGGGTCGTAAGTACACTACATGAGCGTCATAAACTGTTAGAGAGAGAAAAAAAGACACACGCTGAACAACAATTCCCTGCTTCTAGCCTCTCTTCAAAGTCTCTTTGAGATGTGCGACAAGTCGTTTTCCGTACGCACACAGTCAGTATTTCGGGCTTGCAATTGGTAAAGTATCTGCTCATTATGTTTATTGATATAGGCAGTCCACAAGTAGACAACTAATATGTTGGCATTGGAAATTTAGTTGCGGCGGCTGCAGTTCATTCATTCGAAGGGCATCCTCCATCGCGACATCAAGCCAGACAATATTGTTACGGGTGTAAACGGCAATGAAGTGAAAACCTATCTCATTGGTTTTGGGCTAGCAAGAAAGTATAAGGTCGGCGAGAAACATATTGCCTGGAGGGAAAGTCTTTGATTTGTGGGCACGCCATTATTCTCAAGCATTGACGACATAGGTGAGGGTGAGTTGAGCTGCAGCAACGATTTCCTACTGTTATTTGTTATCTATTTTGTTTCCACCACTGACAATCTCACTTGTGTTGATATAGTGCAAAGTACACGGAACGATTCAGAATTGCGCGGTCACATGCATCTTGTCGCTTTGAAAGCTACACTCTGCCGTGGAAAGACCTGTTGTTGGAAGAGGTTAAGAAAAAGAAGTACGACCTTAGTAGCTATGTCACCTTAACCAATCTGGTTGACTACTTTGGCTTTTTATTGGTGCTTAATTTTGCGAAGAAGCAGGATTATGACCTACATATCGACTATGGTACCAGCCAAAGAGCACGAGTTCGAATCGGCTGTAAGTTTTGACACCTTTTTTAAATGTCTTCTTTTTGTTTTATCGCATATCTTCCAGAGATACTTTGCGCGCAACAGTCCACTCATTCTCATTTTTGTTTTTCTAGTTAGACAAAGGAACAATATAAAGAACGACCAATCCATCCCCTTCGTTTCAAACGCTCACTGCTTCTGTTGCTTCGACGGCATCGGAACAACAACACCTTCACCGAAGGTCCGCTACGGTTGCCGATACTCATAAGCGAAACTATACCTAGTAACAACATCACCACCAGCAAAGAACCGTCGAACAAATTTTAAATGAAGCAATCACAGCACAACACATGACTAGCTTACACATCTTAAAACTCTGCATTTACACGTATACTACAATCACTAGCTCTAGCCTGTTACGTAGTGTATCTATTGTATGCAATGGAATGCACTTATGAATTATATTCGGCTTATAGGAAGCCTGCAAAAGTACAACGTTCATTTTTTAGTTATGAGTCTTCTGTCGGGAATAGAAGCGCTGATGTCGCTTACTTATCGAAATCAACTACTATATTTATTCTTTGACTATGAACAAACATCGAGGGAAGTCAAAAAATGAAACGTCTTGCCTTTGACCGACACCAACGTATCATATGAAGCATCAGATGGGGGCATTTTTTATATATACTGAAAGCTCTGAATAGGAGAAGGGTCACGGAAATCATCTTGAGCAGCAGTTGGCATATCACCTGGCTGGACCAAAGGGCTCTCGTGTTCGTCTGTCGCCAATCGCCAATCCAAAAGTACGGTATCTTGTCGCAAAATAGAGAATCTCAACTCAGCGCCTTTTAAGATTGCTACTTACTGCTTCTCCATTCTAATTGCATAGGTGACTAAATCACGTCACTTGTTGCTGCTACCGGAGCTGTTTTGAAAAAAACCGCTGATTAGACGATCTCAAGAGAAACTCGCTGAATGAACTGCTATTGAAAACTCAATTTTTTCAAGTATGCAGCAGAAATGAACAATGTGTTTGATCAAGATAGCGCATGACCATGTTATTTCTCTGTTTACTGAGATATAGTTTTATTAGAAAGTTGACAGTGCTGGTGTAAGGGTGCTTGATCCAACACTGAATATGTTACAATGAATTGACTGACAGTATACAAGAGCAAGATATAGTCTTTGATTGCATATGGGCGACTGCCCATATATATGTTCAGCACTTGTTTCCTCATCATCGGGCATACCCTCAGTAATGAACTCAAATGTGCTTCATCATGGTAACAATGGCAGTAAATGCTACAAAAAGGATTTCTTTTAAAATTACGCTTATATCGAATAATGTGTGGACAATGAACGGAATCAGAATACTTCCTCGATTTGACGGATAACGAAAGGCTTGGTTAAAATGCTGTTGTTGCCATACTGCTGCTGTTGCCCCTGGTTGAAAAAAACACAGGCGGTGCACATTCTACTACGCACGCAATAGAACTCCTTCAAGGCGAGGCCATGGGTGTTATTATCCCCCAGACGTATGGAAAGATAGATATTGCCCCAGCACAGTCTCATTTTATCCGCATGAATAAGGTCCTGCACCATCCACCAGTCAACGTTCCCTATCAAGTAAAGCACCGCACTGTGTGGCCCAGCACGCAACTGAGCCCGGTCTTGGTCCTGATATTATAACGGTGGCAGCCTTAGCTTCAAGTCCTGGGCTTATCGCATCCTTACGGTTCTATGTATGATAGAGCAACACTGTACCTGGCTTGCTCATGACATTCAGGGGTTCAATCTACCAAAAACGAATAGCAAAATGCAATCAGCGTCGTCCTTGTGCAGAGAATCAACAAAATGCTTTGAAAAGTAATCACAAGTACCCGTCATGCAACGATTTCCTTGATTTAACGAGGCGCGGTATTTGGTAGCAGCGCTGGCAGGGAAACCCCAATAGTGATGCATTCGTCGGTTCATAAAACGCGATAAAGGGCTTGTCTTGTGGTGGCATACAACTTGATGATTGGCAACAGCAAGCATTGATGGCGTAAGGAAAGGAAGGTCGGAGAGGAATACCGCAGCCCGCAACATCGATAGAACCTACTGAACAATCCGAACTAGCCTTAAACCAATGAATCACGTTCTACGTGCGTGCGAGTGTTGGGGGGAAGGGGAGGGGGGTCATAAACAATAAATCATCGGCTATGCGATCATGGTGGGAAAACTTTCTTCGCTACGACAGGTGATCACATGTCGACAACTAAGAAGTGCATCTGGCACGCTGGGGGTCCTAGCGTGGTGTCCATAGCAGCTGTGGTCATGCACAGCAAACACGGCTAGAAAATATATCCAGGCAGGCTGCCGTCGCAAGCAGGTCGGATACATGCCAACTGAGTAATAGAAGGATAGGCCTGGATCGTTTCTTTGTATGCGCTTACATCGGCCTCAAAACATAACCCAACACAAACGTGAGGGTAGTATGCATATGCTCTTGCAAGGGAAACAGGTTTTCCGCAGCATCGGAATTGTTTCGTTGACGTTCGTTGAGTGTAACAGCAAACATGTACTTAGTAGAAAATCACACGCTTGCTCAGAGAATGAGGTTGTAAGCACGACGTACTGCAACATCACTGCTAATCGTGCTCTTGATACAGCTATTTGCAGATCTCATCAATGTCTGTAATCGATGGAACAGTGTTGCGAGATGGTAAGTATAAAGTAAGCAGTGGCCTTTGGATGGCGAGTACGGAACAATGGACGAAAAACGCGCAGTGCTGCTAGTTGCTTGAGCGAACTAGTCCGCTTAAAGGGAAACAGGTAGCGTTTGTTGCATAAACACTCTAGTATCATCCTGTTATCCAACCATGCGGTATGAGACGATTATGTAAATGAAGCGCTCCTTTTTCAGTACATACTTCTACTTATTGATGCATCCAATCTTATGAGGGCACTGTTTGAATGTCTGCTTTGAGAATAGAGAGAAAAACGATGCATATAAAAGCATTGCTGTGATACATTGTTCTTTCATTGGCATTTTTCCCTTCTTTCATCGTCTCCACTTGCTTTTTCGTAAACACAATGTCTCCATCCACCGTCGACAACGACCGCTTCGTGCTCCTTAGGCAGCTAGGAGCAGGAGCATGTGGCCAAGTGTATCTTGGTGAGTAACGAATGGATGCATGATTGATCAAAATTCTGAATAGTCACACTTAATCTTGTACTTGAAGCTGTGGACACCGTAGAGTCCAAGCTTGTCGCTGCCAAAGTGGAAGCTAAAGAGAAGAGCTTGCTCTTGTACCGCGAGTATCGATGCTATGAAGATCTTGTTACGCGGGGGACCTGCCAAGCACCCAAGACGTTGTACTTTGGTACTCAAGGCAAACATAACGCTCTAGTTATGGATTTGATGGGTGGTAAGTACACTACATAAGCGTCATAAACTGTAAAGAGAAAAAAAGATATACGCTGAACAACAACTCCCTGCTTCTAGCCTCTCTTGAAAGACTCTTTGAGATGTGTGACAAGTCGTTTTCCCTACAAACAGTTAGTATTTTGGGCTTGCAGTTGGTAAAGTATTGTAGATTATGTTTATTTGATATGGGCAGTTCACAATTGCATTGGAAATTTAGTTGCGGCGGCTGGAGTTCATTCATTCGAAGGGCATCCTGCATCGCGACATTAAGCCCGACAATACTGTCATGGGGGTAGACGGTGATGAGAACAAGGTTTACCTTATTGATTTTGGGCTAGCAAGAAAGTATAAGGTCGGCGAGAAACATATTGCCTGGAGGGAAAGTCTTTGATTTGTGGGCACGCCATTATTCTCAAGCATTGACGACATAGGTGAGGGTGAGTTGAGCTGCAGCAACGATTTCCTACTGTTATTTGTTATCTATTTTGTTTCCACCACTGACAATCTCACTTGTGTTGATATAGTGCAAAGTACACGGAACGATTCAGAATTGCGCGGTCACATGCATCTTGTCGCTTTGAAAGCTACACTCTGCTGTGGAAAGACCTGTTGTTGGAAGAGGTTAAGAAAAAGAAGTACGACCTTAGTAGCTATGTCACCTTAACCAATCTGGTTGACTACTTTGGCTTTTTATTGGTGCTTAATTTTGCGAAGAAGCAGGATTATGACCTACATATCGACTATGGTACCAGCCAAAGAGCACGAGTTCGAATCGGCTGTAAGTTTTGACACCTTTTTTAAGTGTCTTCTTTTTGTTTTATCGCATATATTCCGGAGATACTTTGCGCGCAACAGTCCACTCATTCTCATTTTTGTTTTTCTAGTTAGACAAAGGAACAATATAAAGAACGACCAATCCGTCCCCTTCGTTTCAAACGCTCACTGCTTCTGTTGCTTCGACGGCATCGGAACAACAACACCTTCACCGAAGGTCCGCTACGGTTGCCGATACTCATAAGCGAAACTATACCTAGTAACAACATCACCACCAGCAAAGAACCGTCGAACAAATTTTAAATGAAGCAATCACAGCACAACACATGACTAGCTTACACATCTTAAAACTTTACATTTACACGTATACTACAATCATTAGCTCTAGCCTGTTACGTAGTGTATCTATTGTATGCAATGGAATGCACTTATAAATTATATTCGGCTTATAGGAAGCCTGCAAAAGTACAACGTTCATTTTCTAGTTATGAGTCTTCTGTCGGGAATAGAAGCGCTGATGTCGCTTACTTATCGAAATCAACTACTATAATTATTCTTTGACTATGAACAAACATCGAGGGAAGTCAAAAAATGAAACGTCTTGCCTTTGACCGACACCAACGTATCATTTGAAGCATCAGATGGAGGCATTTTTTATATATACTGAAAGCTCTGAATAGGAGAAGGGTCACGGAAATCATCTTGAGCAGCAGTTGGCATATCACCTGGCCGGGCCAAAGGCCTCTCGTGTTCGTCTGTCGCCAATCGCCAATCCAAAAGTACGGTATCTTGTCGCAAAATAGAGAATCTCAACTCAGCGCCTTTTAAGATTGCTACTTACTGCTTCTCCATTCTAATTGCATAGGTGACTAAATCACGTCACTTGTTGCTGCTACCGGAGCTGTTTTGAAAAAAACCGCTGATTAGACGATCTCAAGAAAAACTCGCTGAATGAACTGCTATTGTAAACTCAATTTTTTCAAGTATGCAGCAGAAATGAACAATGTGTTTGATCAAGATAGCGCATGACCATGTTATTTCTCTGTTTACTGAGATATAGTTTTATTAGAAAGTTGACAGTGCTGGTGTAAGGGTGCTTGATCCAAAACTGAATATGTTACAATGAATTGACTGACAGTATATAAGAGCAAGATATAGTCGTTGATTGCATATGGGCGACTGCCCATATATATGTTCAGCACTTGTTTCCTCATCATCGGGCATACCCTCAGTAATGAACCCAAATGTGCTTCATCATGGTAACAATGGCAGTAAATGCTACAAAAAGGATTTCTTTTACAGTTACGCTTATATCGAATAATGTGTGGACATTGAACGCAATCAGAATACTTCATCGATTTGACGGATAACGAAAGGCTTGGTTAAAATGCTGTTGTTGCCATACTGCTGCTGTTGCCCCTGGTTGAAAAAAACACAGGCGGTGCACATTCTACTACACACGCAATAGAACTTCTTCAAGGCGAGGCCATGGGTTTTATTATCCCCCAGACGTATGGAAAGATAAATATTGCCCCAGTACAGTCTCATTTTATCTGCATGAATAAGATCCTGCACCATCCACCAGTCAACGTTCCCTATTAAGTAAAGCACCGCACTGTGTGGCCCAGCACGCAACTGAGCCCGGTCTTGGTCCTGATATTATAACGGTAGCAGCCTTAGCTTCAAGTCCTGGGCTTATCACATCCTTGCGGTTCTATGTATGATAGAGCAACACTGTACCTGGCTTGCTCATGACATTCAGGGTTTCAATCTACCAAAAACGAATAGCAAAATGCGATCAGCGTCGTCCTTGTGAAGAGAATCCACAAATTGCTTTGAGAAGTAATCACAACTAGCCCTAGCCGTTTCAAAAAAAAATCACGGAAACGGATTTCGGAAAATAACTTCTCCGAGCGGTTAATCATGTAACCGAACCAAAATCTATTTTTCAGTAGGTTTTTTCACTTCTTCCTCACAATGGAACCGCAAAATCAGCAACAAATCCAATCCCAAGAAACACCCGAGCAACCTCAACTGAAAAGATGTAGTAATTGCAAATCTTATCGCCCTTTGCTATTTTTTGTTAGCATTAGATAAGATTACAATACGTGTAAAAAATCCATCAACGCCAAAATGACGTCGGTAAACCAATCGCAGAGCAGTTACTCCTGACAGTGGACGAAGTACTCGAGCTGATTCCTTCGCGTCAAAATTTGAGGAACGTAGCTGACAGTCTCGAAGATTACAGCCTCGACGCGTATGTGCAACTTCATGACGATATGTTGGTGTTGTCAGATTCGCAACTTGTGATCAACATCCAGGATTGTATCCAGGCTGTTGACGGATACCATTACTACGAAGCATACCAAAAAGAACCACGAAAAAAGTTCGGCTATTCTTTCCTTTTTCGATGCTCGCAAGATTTTACATGTGCAGGATCAAGCTGCCGTTCGTTTACGATTGTATCGACGTATGTCAACTTTCTTGTGCAATGGCCGCATGAGTGGCATGGTCGGTAGAGTGAATGGTTACTTCCACTTGAACATCGAACACTCCTGTGGGCATGAGGCTGCACCTGCCGTCGCAAATAACGCCGTCCCGCAAAATGTACGTGCATACATCGCTGCACATGCCATGGACTTGGATGCACAACAGCTGCATCGTAACATTATCTGTCAGTTTCGACAAGAAGCGACAAGAATAACGCAGGGGCAAGTGTATCACTGGGAGTGCCAGTCAATCTAAGACCAATATACACTGCACGACACCAGTTCAGATAGGCAGAGATGCTCGTCGGCAGAGCCACTGACAAGGGTGTCTGTAAGGTATGTCAAAATGTCCTAAATAAATATTAATACATGCGAGGATCGTGTATATGTTCACTTCGATGCGTTGAGAAATAGACAAGAACCATTAATATAGAATCAATAAAATTCAATAACCATTAAACAAATTTTCACCTCAGCACAAAACAGTAAGCATTTAAAAATGAGTAGTTATATCAGTAGTTGCACATGTCATGTTACGAAATAGACAGATACAGAGAAGATATCAGCATGGACACTACAAGAGAATGAATTTTGATATAAAAAGATGGAAAGTTGCTTGGGGCACGTAAGCTTTCCATGCAGGATTAATTAAAATAACAACTAATGATGCTAACCGTCCAGGGATGGAAGGCTCCATAAAAAAATCATTTGATACATAGTGTACAGAAGTTGAGATAATATAAGGAGGATGTTTACTAGTTGAAGTTTTTCATCTAAAATAAGGTTAACAAAATATTTAAGGTTCACAAAAATTCGTCATGTTTACAAAATTATTATAATTTTAAAATTGAATATAAAAAAAATTGAATTTTAATTAAATATAAAAATATATTACAATGGATAACCAACAAATAGATGAAAAGATTAATAATGAAGTTAACAAAATTATTGTTAATAAGTGGGAATTTTTGGAATATAACTGGCCAATTATTAATTATAATTACAAGCATTATATAGAATTAAAACATATTATGATATTAAAAAGATATTAGTAGATAAACCTGGTCATATAGCTGTTTTTTTCTTTTTGGTTGTTTTATATACTAGCTGTGAATATCCTGGCCCTTATTTTGAAGTTGAAAAAGGTTTATTTTTATTATATCATTTGGTTTCTGGTGTTTCTGGTATTGAAATTAATAAGTTTATCCCGCAAACATCATTTCATAAATACTATAAAAAGTTTTGGATGGATGAAGATAACTATAAAAGGTTAAATAAAATTGTTAGTGATTCTATGGAGAATATGTTTTCTTCTTTAACTTTAAGAGTTTTATCTTCTTATAAATATAATCCACCACTTTTTAAACACATAACTTTTATAATAGATGGTTATGATTCAAGAATTAACTATGTTAATACTGATATAAAACATGAAAGATTATGGTCATATAAATTTAAAAAAAATAGAGTTCATACACAAATTGTTAGTGATATTAACGATATGATTTTATATGCTTCCAAAAGCGATTATTGTTCTGATAGTTCTGACGGAAGTATGTTTTTGAACATGAAATTATATAAAAAAATATCTAAACAAGATGTATTGGCAACAGATGGTGGTTATACTTTATTTGTTAATCAGCTTATAGAACTTGGTGCGGAAAAAGGATATGATTTATCTTTAAATAATTTTGTTTATCCTATACGCAAAGAAAAGAATGTAGATTTAACAGCAGAAGAAAGGCATTATAATGATGTTTTTGGTAGCTTCCGTTCAAAAATAGAAGACCAATTTGCTGCAATAGGTAATAAATTTTATAGATTTAATGATAATAAATCTATTGTTAAGATGGATAACATAAAGTTTTATAATCTTCAATTTCGTGTTGCTTGTTTATTAAAAGATATAAAAATATTTAGTGAAAAGTTTAATACTAATACACAAGCACATCATAAATTGTGGGAATCAGATAATTTTGAATTTCCACACGGAGCTAAATTAATAGATATAGTTATTAGTAATTCATCTGAGGCAAAAAATAAATTAGATGAAATGGTTAAATTACAGGAACTGTTTTTAAATAATTTAAGTATAGATAATACTGATATGATTATTGATAATGAATACAGCGATGAAAATGATAATGATAAAGATGTTTCCAGCGAAGAAGATGTACCTAAATTCAATGAGAAAAAAAGAAAAAGAAAAGGTAAAGGCAAAGGAACATTAATGGATATAAATAAAATTAGAAATAATTCAACTTCTAATATTTCTTATGAAATAGAATCCATAATAAATCATAAATTTGAAAATGATTCCTATAT